AGCACATCCAGACGTGCTACATCGTCACCCATAGACTTGGCAGACGTCAACATCGCTGCACGCACAAGTTGCAGCCTACGTGGCGTGGCACTGGTGTACAAATACGTTGTGCCTTTTTATAGCCTTGGCTACACTGAAAGTGATTAAAAGTACAATTGAAGTTCAATATGCCTTTCTGCACAAAAAGCAAACGACAGTGTGGACAACACAAAATAGAATCTGCCGCCTTATCAAAATTTGGCGTCGGTTCTGATTTTCCGGCGAGTCATCATAACCTGCTAGAATGTTGCTTAGCCATTGTAGGAGATTTGCGAAAAAGCATTTAGATTTCAGGCGATGGCAGCATTCATTTAAGTGACAGCAGCACATCACACCATCCAACATGAGCCTTTAGCAAAGTTTGATTCTGTTCACCGCTCAAGTATGGACAAGACATTCTTTTTGTCTACCTTTTACACAAACGGAAATATAAAAGAAAGATGCAGACGAAAGATGTAGAGAATCGGCAACTCTTGCGCGCGACTCTCGTCGAAAGATCCTGTAGTTGAATGTATACGATTTGGTAGCATTTTCTGATAAAATAAAGGTCTAATGTAAAGACCAAGCCAGTGAAAACGGCTACGGCAAAAAGTACTCGACGTTTTACTTCAAATAGAGATCGAGCTTGAATTCCTCATCTAGGTGCAGATTTTTGGCACATGTTATAAAGGTCAAAGCGATCATCAATATTCGTCGAGCTACTTAAACTCTCGACATCCCTCCTCACTCAATAAACATGACTGTTTAAATATGAGCTCGCCGAATGATTAAAATATCAATTTTTCAGCAAGACAATGGATCACTCATTGTGTGATTCTATACAAGGTCTTACAGGTTATCAAAAAATGAGGATGACATCGCTCATGACATGTAGCTCGCAGCTGATTGGTCTAGATCAAACCGAAGGGGGGTTTTGTACCACCTTCTAGATGATTCGCCTGAAATTTTGAATTAAGTCTACACATATGGAAGCAAAACAACACATACAAGAATCGATAGTCTCTTTTGGTCTCAAAATCAGTCAAAAGCTTTGAAATGTATGGGGTGTGTGCCTTATCGAAGCTTTCGGTCGCACGTCTGAACCGCTATTTCGTATCGCATAGCTTGCTGCATTACAATACTGGCCCATTCGACACTAAACATGAGGTGTTATCTCTTAATGAGAACCTCACTATACAAAACACACGATATCCCACTGAGTGACATCTAGGAAGAGAAAATATATACTACTCGGTGGAGTTGTGAATAAGTGGGTTTGCAAGTATGTTGCACGTTTAAAATGTATCAACATATTAACTTCTCGCTTTATGCATCGGCGCCTTTGGCCAGTCAGCCAGTTTTGGCAAAATTTTGGCAGATAAAAATCATGGACCCTATATTTGATCCTTGAAAGGAAGCGTCTGTAAAACTGGTAATGTGGTCTCTATGGGCTGTCTGATCGAAATGGCTTCTCTAGCTGCTAACGGTGATACTGTTATAAGTGAGAATACAGACAAGCTGTTCCTTGACGAAGTTTTTCGTCAACACGGTTCGCCGGTGGCCATTGTCTCGCAAGAAAGTGGAGCGACCATACCACAACCACTAGGCTTAACTGAAATTTATTTTGATACAAACAAATGTAACTTTATAGAAGAAAAATTAGACACACAACCGAACCATCATCGCTCAACAAAGCTTTTACGGAGGGATCGGAAGTGCCTGTCCGCTACTGTTGTTAGCACAACCGGCTCGCCTATCAAGCTGTAACCTGGGCTGGCGGAAAGCTTTTGGGCGCTTGTTACACACAGTGAGTGAGCAGGAGAGTCGTGTAAAGGCTTGCGTTATCGCGACGAGTTATACGAAATGGTTTGAATCCATAATCGTGGCGTGATATAATCGGCAGGAGTTGTTGTATCTCTTGCACTCTTACACGCCGGGGACACTGAGCCACATACAGATGATCAGTGATTACTTGCACGTTGCCATGATTGTCGCGGCGGGGTATCGCAACGCATGCCGTCATAGAGATAGATCTCGGAGTGCGCAACTCGCGCAGAAGAAAGGCAAAACACAGGGAACGTAATTATCGCGGTAAATAGGTCGGTCGATTAAATTGACAATGAGGTGTACCACATGATCGTACAGCTACAAATTATTATATCTTGCACAACTGCACAGAATTGTAAATTATACGCACACAACAGAATAGTTCGCAGCCCGTTACATCTTCATCCAGAAAGATGTGACCTAAAGTGATGCTCTCAGATATTTTGTCTTTGTCAGACACTCTGCAAAAGTAAACGCCCGATGAGCACCCACCACGCTTGAGAATTGCACCTTACAACTCTTGCTGCAAATCACACAAGGATTACTGCCCCCATGGCTCTTATTCCCTTGAGAAAGGCTTGGTTCTTTTGCGGCCGACGATTTTTTCGCCATTCTCGGTGAGGAAGATGAGATGTTCTTCGATGGAAATAGCCATGGTGACTCACCGAGTTCTGACCGGTATTTAAGAAGCACTTCTTCTCACCCTTGATAGCACACTCCGTGCTCATTGCTTTATGCAGCACTTGCTTAATCTCTGTCGCTGAACTCAAGACGACGTCAAGCTTGTTAGCAAAAAGCTAGACCTGGTTCAGCGAGTTGACTTGCTCGTCCAGTGCAAGAGCAACAATGACTGTATCTATCTTTAATTACGTGCAGCGCTGCGACAGATCCCTTATACGCCTATGCGTGCGGACGTTTGCCATAAATAGAGAATAGAATGAATGATGTCTGACTTCTCATGTCACGTTTTCCGGAGTATTGACTAAATTTGGATCATAAGCGGCCCGCAAGATACAAGTGAAAGTACAGATAAGAGTCATCATAATTATTTACAGCTTTGCCGGCCCGCTTCAGTGAGATAGACTCCGGTTAAGGCGTCTTTGGAATTCTAGACTCTGTGAAATGCAAAGAATAACGTGGGCGTCAAGCTAGAAGTCTGTTACCTCTAGTTTTTGGAGTTAGTAGCCCCGCTTATCTCCATCGGACAGCTGTCACAGCTACCAACTACGCATCAAGCTTGCAACAAAGTCATTCCTTACTTGCTAATAGAAAACGCGCTGCTACGGAACATCCTGCCTTTGATATGGAGGAAATAAAGGCCAAGGGCTTCCAGGCTGTGAGCGGCAAAGGGGTCATAAAAATCTTACAAAAAACTTATTTTACCATGACTTTCCGGAGTAAGAAAATCTAGTGAACCCGCCATCCTTTTTTGCTGCTTAGAAGGTTCACCTTTTGTTTATCAAGCAGTACCGACCAAATATCCTGCGGCTGGCTCTTATAATCGCTCTAAACTTTTGCGAGACGTTGACCTTCCTCAAAATATGTGTGTGCGGTCACAATCGAAATGAACCAGTTTTTCAAGACCCTTATAGTTCCGAACCGTATCACCGCCAAAGAAGGAAACGAAGTTTAGCTAAAAGGCTTGTAGACCACAGACGGGTAGAACAAATGCTCTCAATACATTTCCTCCCACAGTGTATCCGTGAGTGTTTCACCTGCCTCGGAGATCGGCGGTTCACTATTGTACAGCTCTCACCGATGGTGTCGCACACCCTGCGCATGACGTCCAAATCTGAGTAAGATAAATCATTGATTTTGCTTCGACGTGTAGCCAGGCTAATAACAGCATGTCAAATCGGGTTGACAGCCCTCAATATAATCAGAAATTTTGTCGGTGTCAAAGCTGCTCGGGGTTCGACGAACCATTCGTGTAAAATAAGGAAAGCGCGTGGATGCATTTAGTGCAATTATCTAAGCGAATTCAGTGAGTGGGGGCAACTCGCTCCAGCACTGCGCTAGTTATTACGAGGGGTCATTCGTCACGCCATCAACATTTTTCGTCGAACTATCAATCTGGTCAGCAGTTGACATGCTCCATCTGATGCCTAGCATCTTGAACCATGTTCTTCAAACTGGATGCCCCGGTGTTAAATAGAAGAGTGCTCTATCTTAGCAAGCCTCGAAACCAAGAAACTCGGTGCAAACGTGTAATCAAACGTTTTAATGAAGCAATATCAAAGCTTAAAACGTCTATGAGCTATATGGATCCCAAGGTATGATGCGTCTAACTCGTTATTACTTAATATCGCATCATCAATGCGCAATAGTACAATCGTGTCGTGCAAAGTTGTGGCGACACGAAGCGCGTCTATTACCAAATTAAGCCAATCCGGCTTATACTGCCATTCAAATGCATGTACACAACAACGCATGTCTATATTAATCACAAATGATTTAGAGCCAAGCAGGATAATTTCTAAATCTTTCGGGCACGACGCGCAATTTTTTATGTAGACGTCCACATCTGATACGCCGTGTGCTGCATGTCTGTGGAGAAGAACACTACTATTCAATGTTTGTAGCGAGTCGATGTGTGTCACCGGATTTTTAAACGTCTCTAGCTCGTTAGATAGACCTGTTGCATAGCTAGCTACTCCAAGAGCATTCGATCAGAAATACTCTACTGCAGTGAGATATTTTACACTGTCTCTCTTGAGCAGCTTGTAAAATTATCGAACAGGTCGAAAGCACTGAGCAAAGTGCACCCGCCCATACTGTTTTGCAGCGCATTCTTTCCTGAAATTGAAGTTTGCCATGAATTGCTGTCTGCATTTACTTTTTGATAATTATGTAGAGTATATACCTCTGACACAGAAAGTGGCGCTAAGTGAAGATTGCCGTCTCACTCCTTGTTCGCAGCGCTATGCGTGTAAGCGGACCAATTCATGACAAATTATCAGATCATTGCCTCGTGATGTAGTAATCATTCCAACTCTTGCTGTTCATCAATTGAGTTCATAAATTCCGTAAATAACTCCTTAGGATGAATAAGTTTTTGATTTTTGGTGAAAGGAGACTTACGCTCCCTAAATCTACCATTATTCACGAGCCATTTTAAATCCATGGACCCCAACTGCTCCGCAAGGTGGACATATCACATTATTGATAACTAAGAGCAACTATTAAGAATGTGGCGAAGATGGGTAACATGAAAGCAAGACAGTTACAGTCATCTGTCTTCGTAGGGATTTACCCTGAAGATCGCGGTACTAAGCCACTCTGACTTCTTGTAATAGGAATTGCCTGTCCGCTTCATAAAAAAGGCTTCAGTCAAGTGACAAGCCTCACCACGTGTTTCTCGCTCTCAGCGGGCCGTTGACTTATGTATAGAGGAGGAAAGGTGATTTGACACTTATTATTATCGCCAATGGACTTTAAGCCTCCCAAACCTGATAAGTGCCTCCTGTACTGATATGAGAGGGGGTATACAGTTATACAGAGTCTAAATTTCATGTTAGATACACAAAAGTATGTGGTCCTTACAACATGTGTGATTAGACCTGGTCCATTGCATCGCCCCGTACTCAAAGGTGGGATTACCCTAACTATTATACATTTCTTCGATTCTTCTTCAATTTCCTCGTCATGCTCTGGCCAACTCTTCCGAGAGTGAAAATTTATACGCTTGCTTCATATGGTGTTTTCGTCACCATCGAACTTGATAATGTTCTAATTCCACGTCATGCAGCGCATTTGCGCTTTTGTGAGCTTGATCGTCATGACGACTTTTACAAAAGACGTTGCGGTTCAATTCGAGAGTTCGAGGAACCCTTTAGTCGAATGGGTGCTCGACAAATGACTCAAATCGCGTAGTTTCGCGCCATCGGTCTGATTACTCGTGCCGGCGGTAAACCACGAAGCCTCATGTTAGTGCCATACGTCCAGCAACCTAATCTGGATTCCATCCAGACAATCGACACTCGGTTCCAGACATGGCTCCAGGCGACCAAATCCGTGGATATCCACTTTTTCATAACGCGAGTACCGCTGCGGACTTGTCAAAGGTACGCGATATGCGCGTTCGATTTGCGCATTTGAAAGCGCAAAATTGAATTTCCTCTATTATCAATGATGCTCGTGAAGTACGTTCGGTCATCAGTCGGATTCACGACGAGAGGGACGGAGTGAGAAGAGGAAGAGACGTCTCCTCTCAGCGGAGTCCGTCATCGGACCCGCATCGAACGCGCGAGCGATACTGGACCAGTTGCGACGGATACGAGTACGAGGCTCTCACGGAATCTCGTTTGCTGGATATACTAGCCAATCCTTCAAGAGCTCCTGTCGTCCGCGGACGTTCTTTTCCGCCACCACGTTCTTTTCGTGGTAGTATCGTTTTCTCTGTCGATCTAGAAGAGGGGTTGGTGCCCGGAGATGGCGCCCCTTCAGTTTCTTTTGTGGCTGGCCCCCATTTTTTCCGCCTTGCATATGCATTTGACGAAGGAAGAAGCCTCTCTGGCTGATAGACCAGCGGCTAACTAAAATGACCGATTGGGTGTCGTCGATGCGGCAATGCGTAAAGGATAATCGACAGGTCATTCGCGAAGCTTGCGAATTCGAATGGCGTCCTGAAAACTCTCCTGAGGATTCAATCTAGAATCGGATCCATCGATTGAAGAGGCTCCGCACGCTGCTGTAGCTGCGTCCGCTTGATGACGTGGGGCCCGTCAAGCCGTACCCAATTATTCTCGTCATTTTGAGGATGATGCTGAGGTGATGACGCCAAAGTTTTCAACCTCCAATACTAGTGCTCAAAAGTCAATGTCGTATGCTCCTGCGTTTCATCTAGGTTGGGAATCGCGTCGCCAAGATGGTAAGGCTTGAGGAGCCATACGTAAAACGTTGGATGTGTCCTTAGCAGGCTTGAAAGGTCGATAGTGCAAGCATTCTCCTGGCATGAAACTACACGATAAAGCTAGGTAATGGCTTCGAGCTTCTGTAGCTTGAAACCGCATCGTCTGATAGATTCTTATTCTTAGGTAGTAAGTAACCCCCCACATTAAAATATATTTTGCCCCGACGACCTCGTCTATCTACGTATATTCTTTGCAGATCTTGCGCATTCGCAATTGTATCTCGCACCTGTGTTATCACATTCACACGACCCATAATAGACGAGTCCAGGGCGTCCTTGTACTTGCCCTTCACATTCTCATCATTGATTGTATCAATTTAGGAGGCAACGATTTGCCGAGCTCCACCCCCATTTACATCAGAGACAACACCCATCGCTCAAAGCTGTACTTGCGGGTGTCGCAAGCCACCCAGACAAAACGGCTCAAATACAGTGGATGAAAGAATTAAGTTGTGCATAGCAATGATAGCAAAGAACTCCATTCTGCGGAATTCTCCGTATAGATTCTTCTCAACACATCACTGACCACTTGGCTAACACGATCTGTTTGCCCATCGGTACCATCGTGGGTATATCAAATCGACTACCAAGAATTCGAAACAATGTTTGCCGAATGCACTCGTGAATCGTGTATCACGATCAAAGACGATGGCGTCTGGCAACCCATGACTGCAAAAAAGATGGTCAATGGTCAATCTAGCCAATCCTTTGGTATCGATTGGTATCGCCTCACGGAGCGATGAGAGCTATCTTGCTAAGTCTGTCAACAAGGACGAGCACCCCATTGTGGCCGACAGCATTATTGCAGAAGCCGAAGATAAAGTTGGGACCGACTGACTTCTAACAGTCAGTAGGAACAGGGAGACTCACTAGTGGTGTCATGCGTTCTTCTAGCGCTGACAGACATCGCATGTTTTCACGTGTCGTGGGGGCGCCAGAATTGGGCGCTGAAAGATTGGCAGGTCTTCTCACGACCAAAGTGGCTGACCATCGGCATATCTTGCGCCTCGTAAACTATCTTGTACTTCAAATTATCGTAGTGGGTGACAACAATCTGTGGCTTGTCGTCATGTGCAATTTCATAGTAAAGGGGGCATTTCTAACATGCAGAACGATGTAATCTTGATTTCAAGCTTATCATGGAATTTCATTCTACTCGATGAAAGTGCTCTGATAATCAAACCACACTATTCATCGTGTTCGACGTATCATATCGAATACATCGTTTTCGATATGGCTGATATGAGCTGGCTAATAATCAGGACGACTTGAAAATCTATCTGCCAGCACGTTCAGTTTCGTTGGCTTGTACGCGACCGAGAAGTTGTATTCTGCGAAGAATAACAACCAGCGAGCCATTCGCTGGGCGACTGAACTGCTTATCGCAAGCTTGCGTGATCCATGTAGACGATAAACGTAGTTGAACCTAAGAGGTGAACACGAAACTATTATTTTCGATTGCCAAAAACTCCTTGTCGAGGACAAGCTAGCTTCTCCTGCCGGTTTCAGCTGTCGCGATTGAAACAACACGTCACGATCGTCTCGTTTTGAGTCCTTTGCAGTAATGAACGACCGATTGCGAGCTCAAAAGCATCAAACACTACCATATAGGACTTCAAATCATCTGAAAAAAGCAAGAAAAGTGCTTCCATCAAGATGTTCTTGAATTGAGTGAATGCACCTTCACAAGTGGATGACCACTCCAATGATACGTCCTTCTTCAGCAAGTTGTACTATTGCCGCGGAGTTACGCGAGAAGTGATGCAAGTAATTGCATATACCAATCCATTTCCTCAAATCCTTTTGGTTTCGTGGCGTTGGCCACATCACGATTGATTTGACCTTCCCAGGGTCTGAATGAACACCGTGTTCACCAACATAACAACCGAAGACCGATACAACGTTACCACCAAAATTACACTTTGCAAGATCCGCTTGCAATGAATGTTTACGCATACATTTTAGCACCACACGGAGGTGTTCTAAGTGCGGTAGATCTGCCATCTTTGTTCTTTGAAT